ACTTCACCAAACAACAACCAATAAAAAAAGCAATTAATACGTCATAGTGGTGGGGGGAGGCCGAGAATCAGCTGTAAACAACTACTGTTAGGAACTGGTAAACAATATGCTTACAAACTCTAAAAATCTTGGTTGCAATTTACGCATAATATGGTGCATCATTTCCATAGCAAATGGATCCTCTTTTCTGACAATTTGGCTGATAAGACTGAAGAACAGGATAAAAGGTTTCACCACGACATCAAATCTATGGAGTAGCGGTACCAGGTGAGGTGAGACATTCTCATTATGGCTGATTACTGTTGGAACCTATAGAGAAGCTATGAGGAACCGTTTTACACTTGGGTATTTCACCTACAGAATTTATTCAATGAATCTTATACTAATAAATCGATTTCTGTTACCTGACCACCTACGTAGCTCAGTTATCTCCGAAATGGAATTTGAGTGAGAGAGTAAAACTGTCTTCATTTCTGAATTCAGCACATTTGAATAATGAAAAAAAAAAGGTTTAGAATTCCGCAGTACCCAAAACATGTGTTGTTCTGCAAAATGTATGTTATTCAATCTGATTTAGTTACAACTTGCAATATTTTCATGGAAAATTCTAAACCAAAAATCAATAAAGAATATAATTTTCATTAATGTGTCCCGCTTTGCATTCAAAGTTTTGTAAATCATATTAAGGATGTGCATAAAAAATCTCCCCTCTGAACTTCTAAATGAAATGAGTCATCAGAATTCAGGTGAGAAGACATCATTTTTGATACTTTCTGTTAAGAAAGATAATGGGGCTGCATGATCCGTTGCCGAGAGGACGCCAGTGAGTGTTTTTTCCAATGAAATATATATTTTTCAAACAAGGATATTTTTCGGAGTGAATAATCATATCCAATCATTAAAAGTAGTGAGAGTGATGTTTATTCGAATTGTTTAGATGAATGGAATAATTTCACGTCTATTCGAAGATCATATGAAATAATCATTGAGGCAGGACATCTATAAATTCATTCAATACCCTAATCAGATGAATAAAATGTGGAATAGTTCAATATGCCACATATTAAGATTTTAAACAACCTCCAAATTATCTCATTTTTTCCATCGGCTCAAAATTGTTGAGGAATATGTTCACCATACTTACTGAAGTCCATCTGTTAATGCAGAACAGCTTCTTGAGTATAAATCACAAAGAAATTACGCACGCCTCAGAATCAATTTGTTTCCACCCCTCCACTTTTTCCTGAGGACGCACGTCCTAATGGACCGTAATTACAGAAACACCCTAATCAAGAGATATCAATATTCCAAAAGCGCAGAAAGGAAACACTTTCAGAGAAAATCGTTGTCATTATTATTTTTTCGCAGCTTTCCTTTCGTTCTGTCACTATCGAGGTGAAGAGTTCAAACACTGATTATACTTTTCGATCGAAGACGTTTTCTATGCTGAGAATGAATGTTGGTCGCCCATAGAAATGACATTAGGTGTTCTTCGTCACAGCTTTATAGTAATAGAGCAAAAGGAAATCGTGCCAAGAGAACTGAATGTTTGGGAAAAAGTTGTTTCTTTTGAGTTATTTATCTTGATCTCTGGATAGGAGGCCCTGTGACTGCTACGAATTACGAGATTGATATTCGGTTTCAAAACTGACTCAGGCGTTGAATGACAAAGTTTGGTCGGTGTGGTTGATCTTACAACCTATTGATATTGAATTGAGAGGTTTATATTTTCAGAAGTGATAGGTTTTTGGGAAAGAAAGATTTTGGCTTTCAACTACTTCATCATATGATACAATAAATTGTGGAAATCATGTAAAGAAGTAACTTTCAGACACAAAACTGAAAGAAAAAGCCCTCCTGAAACCACTATTTCCATATAAACATTGAATACCACGAAAAACATTTTTTTCGAAATAAAATATCATTCACAGGATTTCAACACAATAACTAAATGGAAGAGTTGAAGTTTCACTTACATGGAACACTGCTATTTTCACGGGCAGACATCCGATGTTTTGCCGTAAGACACTTGCCTTAAGGCTCTTCAGAATGAATTGTGTGTGTTTTTTTATAATGTTATCCATATTGCTACTCAAGAGCCCTAAGGCAAGTGTCTCACGGCCAAACATATGATGTCTACCAGTGAAGATGACAATGTTCCATGTGAGTGGAAGTTTTACTCTTTCATTTAGTATAGGTATCCTGTGAATGATATCTAATTCAATTCCAAAACGAATATTTAAAATATAAACTGAGTTGAGAAAGGTGTTTATTGCATAATTCAGTGTTCATATAAAAGAACTTGTTTCGAAAGTGTTTTAATTTAATGTAATTCAATGTTTATATGGAAGTAGCTGACTCAGAAAGGTTTTTTTTTCCAGTTTGTGTCTGAAGATTACTTCTTTGCATGATATAAACATCTATCTATAGAGTTACATTTTTTGAAATTGATTGCTTCGTTCCTTCCTTTGGAAGGTTCCTTCATTTTTGTATCAATATGGAGTAGTGAAAAGTTAAAAACTTCATTTCCTAAAAATTATCCACTTCTAGAAATATAACCCTTTCAATTCGAAGAAGATTCCTTCAACTGGGATTTGATCAAATAAGCGAAATAATGTCATTACGATGTTATCAATGATATTAGTAGATCAAACACATGTTATGAAGTTAACCAGATTGGTACTGAAGAGCCCTAAGGCGAGTAATGTAATTCAATGTTTATATGGAAGTAGCTGACTCAGAAAGGTTTTTTTTCCAGTTTGTGTCTGAAGATTACTTCTTTGCATGATATACACATCTATCTATAGAGTTACATTTTTTGAAATTGATTCCTTCGTTCCTTCCTTTGGAAGGTTCCTACATTTTTGTATCAATATGGAGTAGTGAAAAGTTAAAAACTTCATTTCCTAAAAATTATCCACTTCTAGAATTATAACCCTTTCAATTCAAATAAAATTCCTTCAACTGGGATTTGATCAAATAAGCGAAATAATGTCATTACGATGTTATCAATGATATGAGTAGATCAAACACATGTTATAAAGTTAACCAGATTGGTACTGAAGAACCCTAAGGCGAGTATTTTACGGAGATACTAACTAAAATTGAGTAGAGAAATATTTTTTTTGTATCATTCAGTATGCATATAAAAGTATTTGTTCCTAAAGTATTTTTCTTTCGTGTAATTCAGTGTTTATATGAAAACAGGGCTGTTTCAGGAAGGCTTTGTTTTCAGTTTGTGTCTATAGAGAGTTACTTCTTTTGAAATAGATTGTTGCATTCCTTCCTTTGGAAGATTCTCACATTTTTTTGTATCAAGATGGAGTAGTAGAAAGCCAAAAACTTCCAGTCCCAAAAATGGATCACTTCTAAAAAGATAATTCCTTCAATTCAAACAAGATTCCTTTGGCTAGGATTTAATCAAATAAGCGACTGAATGCAACACGATGTCATCGATGACATAAATAGATCAAACTCATTCCGTGACATGAAATCGTATTTATGAATGAATTGTGTATTTTTTTTATAATGTTATTCATATTGGTACTACCAGTGAGGATAATAGTGTTCCATGTGGGTGAAATTTCACTTCCTTCATTAATTATTTTGTGTAGGAATCTTGTAGATGAAATCTTATTCGATCCCGTCACAAATGTTTGGAATACAAACTGAGTGGAGAAAACTTTTTTGTTTAATTCAGTGTCATATGAATGTATTTGTTTCGAAAGTATTTTTCTTTCGTGTAATTCAATGTTTATATGAAAGTAGCTGTTTCAGGGGGAATTTCTCCTCCAGTTTGTGTCTGAAGGTTACTTCTTTGCATGATCTTCATATCTATGTTACTTTTTCTGAAATTGATTTCTTTCTTTCTTTGGAAGATTCCCACATTCCTACATCGGTGGTTGGTGTGGCTTTGCTTCTATATCAGTTGACGTGAATGACGTGATACAAGAGCAATTGCGTGCAGATTACCAGATTTCTTTGATGCGAATTCCTGCTTCTTTTTGTTTGGATTCATTTCAGTGCTTCTGAGATTCTATCTTCTTCCTGGTAACTCTCAGTTCTATCAAGAACTTGGGTCTCTTCAAATGCAGTAACATGGAAACTTTTCCTAAGTACAAATTCCAATTCTGCTGTTTTAATAGTTTGCTTCAGGAGACAATTCCTTTTGTATTTGGAGGACCGGGTTCTCAAACTTCTCTTCGTTGTTCGAGTGTAGACCGATCTACTAATACAAGAGATCTTGTAAATCCCTAGTGTTGCTGAAGGCCCTTATATCACCTTAAAATCTCTATAATAATTTTTGACTCAGAATTTCCTGTTCGGGGTTATATGCTCGAAATCAGCTTTGCTATATCTTTTCTTTTGGAAGCCAACAAATGAATGTGTTTCTTGGGAAGGTTAGGTTCACAAATGTGTCCAGCCCTTTTAACTAAAATTTTGGAAATCTCTCTTTTTAGATGTACTAGTGAACAGATATGGAGATGTTTCATTGAGTCATATAGTGAACATGGAACACACACAGTTATTGTTCTCTTCTATTCCAAATAATTCGACTTGCTTTTTCCTAGGTATTGAAAATGAGTTTTTGGAAATTGTTACACAAATACTTCAACTAAAACTTCAACTATTATTCGAATGTCTATTACCTTACTAGATCACTTCGCGTACCACACTGTGACGACCACTTCACTGTGTACTTGGCTGTCCGAATACGCTTGCAGGCAGCGTTTAAATATCGCAATCGAACATCGTAGAATCTTTGCTGGAGTTCCATCGACGTCGGTAGCATGTCGCTCGAGAGGCAGCAAGAAACATTGGGCATTCCCACGCTCTCAGCTACATCACGTTTGGTTTATGGTTACCAGTGGCAGCCGGCGTTACTTCCTTTCAGGCATGATCTACAACAATACGTATAAATGAATTGGTACCTTTTACTTTTCCATTCTCAAAGTTCACCTTGTTGAATATGAATAGATACCAGTTTGAAACTCAAGAATTTGTGTACTTCATCCCTTAGAGTCGCCTACTTGATTAGTGAAACGCACGTCTACAAGAATGTTGCTGTTTGGTATTTAGAAATAGTACCTGTTTTAAATTAATTCCATTCTGATCTGATCATTTCGTTAACCTAAACTAAAAAAATGTCTTAAAATAGAAGAAGTGTACCCATTTGGCCGGAGAATATCATTGTAAATAATAATAATGATAATGATGACAATATCAATTTTTTTCCATCAGTTCGGACTTCCATTGTCTAATATAATTTAAATTGATTTGAAATCCCTGAAAAAAATTAAAAAGATTAACCGAAAATACCAATTTTATCAAACAAAAACTGTAATTACAAAGAAATAACATACAAGTAACAACCAAAAAAAAAGGTTCTAAACCAAGTTATACCACGACGTTTCGATTGTTAGTATCCACAATCGTCTTCGGGTGATAAAAGGATTTATTCCTCCGAGATCTGACTATTTATAGGTCATTCGAGTGCTTCCACCTATCCCCTCTTCCCTCTCCCGATTCATTGGTTTCAGCGGGAGATGGCCGTTTGGCTGGAGTTGGTCATTTTTCTCTTGATTAGAGGTTTCCATGTGTTACATATCTCTACGCTAGCTTGACTGAATGCGTTGTTGGAGAACATATACGCGGCTTCTTTGACGTGTATATTAGACAATGGAAGTCCGAACTGATGAAATACATCACTAAACATTGTCAACCACCTTCAAACAAACATCAATTTCATTGATGCTAATTTGCACATAAGCAGGGATGGCCACTTACCTACTCCTAGAGTCTTTGGTGAGTTGCGCCACCACTTACTCGAGCAACTGGTGCAAACCCGGACTGGCATTGGCAGCCCAAACGCATCAATTTCTCTTCGGTGACGGTCATGAATCTACAGGGCTAGCCACCTGGTAGACCCAAAACTGAGGTAGAGGAAGTGAAAGAGACCTCCAAATCTGACCCACTTGGTTAGGTCAGAGGCAAGGTGGTGTTGCCCATAACGATGACAACGTCATCCTGCCAATGACAACGGATGCTTTGAGTGAACGCATGAGCCTCATGCATTGCTACGAGAGTATTGAGCCCGCTCGAAGAGGCTACATAACGAAATTATATGGTCTGTGGTGTGAAACACAAATGGAACAGTCATACCCCCCGTTACTATGAATGAAAAGGAGACTTGCATCATTCCATCAATGAGGACAATCACAACACACAGGACACTGACTCGTTTGGATGTCGAGGTTCATATTGTTCTCACAGATGTGCGGCGAAAAGCTGACCAATTACGGCGTATCCATAACACTTTGAGTCAGGACGTGTTGGTAATCTCCAAACAACACTGCCTTGAAAAGTTATGAATGCTAGTGGCTGCTAAAAAGTCACTAGTGAGGCGAGTGAGAAGCTTGGCGATAAAACCTCAGGTCCCGCGAGAAACTTTCTCGCTTATTCCAAGAGCCTCCGCGTATTGTAGGCAATCCGCAGATCGCTGATTAGGTCGAATCCTTATGAAAGAACAATTATGTTATGATAACTCGCCGCCACTAGGATAGTGTCTTCAACACCTTTTGCCTACCGCTGTCGCTTGATAGGTATACCATATGTGTTCATACTTTTTTCGACAATGGAAGTATGAACTTCTAAGTCAACTTCACTGATTTGACTGGTTTGAAATTTCCTATCTCATAACGAGGTGTATATTTTTCATATCCTGGTTTCACAAGAGAAAATTAAATGAATACAAAACCTTTAAATATAAAACCTCCAGAGACAAATACTAACAGTTATTACAGTCATTATTATAACCATACAATTGTCAGAAAATAGAAAAGAACTTCCCTTTTTAATATACACAGTATGCATGATTACGTGTTCACCGTGTTAGGAATCACACGTTAAAAGGTAAGATCTCGTTAGTCCTTAGATCGCACAAGTTTCAACTTTTGAGATTTGTCGTTCGTAAGGGGGCGACAGCCCCCCTACGAACAGATAAACAGATATTTCAACAGATGTGAAGCTCAACTCAATCTTGAAACCTATCGAATTCCAGGATCTCTTATAATACATTACGAGATTTGATCAATCATTTACTCATTGAATTCATATTTTCAGAACTCCGATTTTCCAATATATTCGCATCGAATGACATCAAAAATGAAATTATTCTCCGATAGAGCCTTTACCCAATCGAGTACCGATAAATCACATCCGATTTACTTCAGTCACTTTCATTGCCTTTATGTGCGGTTAAACTGAAAATAAAAATGTCGAGCGTAATTCTTTTTGTTGACATGTTCCGCATTTTATTTCTATGTTTATGACCCCTGAAGACCAGTTTTCTGTACAAAAAAAGTCACAATAGCATTATGTATTTCAGGAATGGCGTGTGCAGATGTACATTATTCTACAATTTATAGTTCCATTCGCGGAAATTCTGATTTCACATTATCTACTTCCGTTATTTACTTTGTGAACATCGTCAGGAACCAAGGATTCATCTGAATATTATTTCATTTTGTGATTGTTTCGAAAATGCAGATCAAATCAGTCATAGAATATATTCATTTGGTATATTTTTCTTTGTAGCTTTGACGATAAAAGCCAGTTCTCAGTGTCAAAATTATTTATAGATAAAATAGTCTTTCAATCAAATCTTCGGGTAGAGGCTAATTCTAGGACATCATTCTGCAAATGCTATTTCAAAACTTTCTTTTTTGGCTATAAATACTGAGTTTTCCTTCATTCCGTAGATTTACTTTGCAGATTCGGTCGATATAGAAATGAAATGAGAACTAATTTATAGTGATTTTTATTGATACAATATCGAGGTAAGTTTAGGCATTCTTGCCATCTTCAGTTTCTCAAATATCGATAAATTACGAACACAGAAATGTACAATGAGCAACTTCACTTACAATAAACATTTGAACAAATTTTAGTGATGAAACTAACGCTATCACAGTCACTCTAGGAGTTAACGCACAAAGATAATAAAAATTGAATGACAAAAAAAATTGTGAAGACGTTTGAAAAATTCAATGCAAGAACTTTGTATTATTGTTGAATGAGGAGGGTTAAGATAGGATATTTGATGTCAAATCCTCAGTCTCTCGTTTATAAGTGAAATTCTAGTTTAATAAAGTATTTATTTCGTTTTCGTATTCACCCTTCAACATAATTACTGTTTTGTTACATTTATCTACTCGTGAAATAATAATGTTGGAATTATCTTCGAGAGAGGCATATTAGGCGGATGCAATTTTTAAAATGTTTTTAAGCTTTCTATTGGTGTTTGTGAGAATATGACATCGATACCTTTCTCGTTTCCAGCAATTATATCAGAGGTTGGTAGATAGTAGCTATTCGGTAGTGAGAACTGTGGCTCCAAACACAAGAAGTATTACTGCTTCCGGTAAATCTGAGGCCGTGAAATTTTACTTCTATTGAAGTACTTGGTTTGGGTTCATTTCAGGATCTCCACCCACCACTTTCAACCTTGAAACAACCTTTATGTACCTCACACGATGTATTCAAGGTGGCTTCGAGAAACTGTTTTGACACCTTGATCGACCTAGACTTACGTCTCACGACAGGAGACAGGCCACCTTTTCAAGTCAAGTGGTCCCATTAGCTATCGTCGGCTGACATGTCATGGAAACTGAAATGAAAAATTATTGGTTAGAAAATTGAACCCAGGTCTCTGACGTGAATGTGAATGTGAATTGATGACACCAATGGAGCCGGCGATTGTTTTGTCGGGGAGGGGAGAATGGACTAATTTCATTCAGGGGAAATAGTGTAGACGACAGGAAAATATCCTTAGATTTGGGGAGGAATTAATGTTTCATTAGAGGTGTGTGTGTGAGAGAGTGAGAGGATGTTTTGACGTATGAGAGAGTATCGGAGTGATTCACTCTGAAGATTGAGACTGGAGCAAGTATCACAGGTGCGCTAGTATCGGTTGTAAAATTATTCATTGATTGTATAGTTGCGGTGGGGCGTTGCTGGTTTTTTAAATTGAGCATGAAGAGTTAGGAATACACCATGACAAAAAATGCATGGTAATGAGAAAACAAAAACGATGACTAGGGGGGTCTAACGTTTCAACGTGCAATTCGAAAGATGGGCGCACTAGAAGCCGTATCTTCGTTAACCACGTTATCATCATCAGGAGGAGATGATTAGATGTGGATGATGTAGTAATTTGTGCTCGAAGTTGACGATTTTTAGGTATTGAAAGATATCAGGTGAAGATCTGTTTCAAAGATGGTGGTGAGGCAAGCTCGCTGTTGTCGGTTGTGACGCAGCATCCAAGTTTGCAAAACTTGTAGGTGAGATGGTTTTGTTTTTTGAAATCTTCGCAGATGAATTATATCAACATCATGTGGAATACTACTATTCACATATATTGAATTCAGTGATAGTGAATTGATATAATTCAAATTTACCACATCGCGAGTGCACTGATCTGCTTTCTTGTTGCCACTGATGTCTATATGTAATTGAACCTAAATAAAACATACTTTTTCAACACGCATACAATTGCTCCTTCATTTCCTAGCCAATATAATTGTTAGCATATATTCTGCTTATTTGAGATAATGATCTTAATGAGTTCATTGGAATCATATATTACCCTTCACGGGATCAGTTGACAATGAAAACACTGCTGGTTGGAGCCAGTTTTTGCAAAACTGAATTGGTTGTTGTAACAACAGCAGCCCCTACTCCATGATTGCTTTCTGAGGCGTCCGTAAAGATTATCATATTATATTTATCGGAACGTGTTTTACTTGTATTACAAATTAGAAGTTGTGCAGATTAGTAGATCAAGAAATAATGTCGATAATTCTGTCAAATACAGATCCTGAGCTTGAGAGTTACAAACAAACAAACAAACATACACACATTCATATGTACATACAGGTGTAGCTAATAAAAGCGTGTTGAAAAAATACTTTTTAAATGAAGAAATACATGTAAAGTGAGTAANCTTCAGAAATTACAATAAAATTCAGTCACAAACTAGAAAGCGAATAGAAATTTACATCAGCTCTTGGAAAATCATTACAATCGTTTGTCAGAATGCAGACGACATTGCAATTAAAAAGCTGAAAAAAAAAGGAAATTTTAATGATTAATTTGTGTAGTACACAAAAACGTGTACCGTTTCGATAATGATCTAGTGTTTTCAGATATAAAATTTATCACTGGATATTATAATTCAGGAATTGAATATTCTTGGAATTTTCTTATACAGGGTGTCAATTTGAAAATTCTCCACCCTCAATATCCTTCTTCCAGTAAACAATATGAGAAATCGAAAAAACAGGTCGATTTCATTGCCAAAGGGGACACATTCAAAGACTCTTTGTTGCATTCGTGGTTGAATCCCCTAGGAGTGATAGATGTTACCCTTAGAATTTTTAATGGGAAAGGGGGTCAAGTGGTACATCATTTTGAATGGCGTTCAGTTCTGCTTTCAATGGTAATCAGACTTATAATTCTTTGATGAGCATTTTCTGAAAAATAGCGTTCTAAACTAACAGAAGTAATTATAAGTATGCCTATACTGGGATGCTTGATTTGACCAGAACTGGTAAAAATATTAGGTGGTACCGTTTCAACCCTTTATTATTAACATTGGCCATTAGCTCCAAATAATTTACATCAAAAAGTATTCGTATAGTAAAACGTAATTAGATGGTAGTAAATTTGTGTAAATTCTTTTTCAGGCAAAACATTGGTTGCAAATTTGAAAGATGTGGTAGTATTGTGCATACAGTGGTACTTGTTAAGCTATTTACTGATTACTTCAATGAGTATATAAAGGAGTAAAAATGATTTACATTCTTCTGCATCTGTCCGGCTAAGATTTCTGCCTTAGTGCGGCAAACCGCTATGATTTTAAAATTCAAAAGTAGAGAGAGCATCATTCCACCAAGGACTCCAATAATCAGAACAACCATCTTGACAGAATGGTCTGGAGAGAGTCTGCGGAGTTCGAAGAGAAAATCTCGATATTTCATCCGTTTTTTCTCCTCTTTTTGGACGATATTTATCTCGCCAGTAGCAGAAAACTCCACGACAAATATCGTCGTACTCTGGTGGTCGAAAAGAACTACATCAGGCTTATTAGCTTGCATGAACCTGACATCAAATTTGACACTTCTTGTTCCCCACAACGGATTCAATATCCCCCGGAGCGTAGGGCAACACTGGTATCTCGTCAGTACCATAATTATTTTTATACTGAGGTATGCACTGGTCAGGCCCTATCCCCCGAAGCCCCGTTGCATTCGGGAGAACGCGCCAGCATTCTCAACCAACGACCACTTTCCACACCGTAGGGTGGGAAGTGGTGCTGAGCAATCGCAGTGAGCCAAGAATGACTGACAGCCTTCTGCATCTATCAGGCTAAGATTTCTGCCTTAGTGCGGCGTGTGATTTTAAGATTAGAGAGTAGAGAGGGTATCATTCCACCAAGGACTCCAATAATTAGAACAACCATCTTGACAGAGTGGTCTGGAGAGAGTCTGCGGAGTTCGAAGTACATTGAAAAATGACATTTATGTGAAGGTATGACATTTGTCAAACCCAAAATAATCTTATACATGTTCAACCTTCTCCGTCATTTTATATGTTCAATTTATTGTTTTTAACTCATTTTTTTACTGTAAGTATGAATTGTAATGTTTTTCGATGGCAAAAAAACCAAAAACTCAATAAATTATAGGCCCTGAAGAAGCTTCCCATTAGAAGCGGAAGCTTGGCAAAGTAGAACAGAGATTTGATTTTTGATCATTTGATTTGATTTGATTTGATTTGATTTGATCATTCGATCATTTTGCGAAATTTTTGTTTATATCACTTTTCCCGAGATTCAAATGGAAATTTTTGATTTTGAAAAATAGATCTGAATTATATATCTTGGTTGACAAATAATCCCTGTTGAGTGAATACCTGACAAATAATCATTGTTTCAAAATAGTTGAAAAGTCGAAGAGCTTAATTTTTTGTGCATATTGAAGACAGTGAGAGTCCCACTAGATACTTACATGATTGCATTTAAAACACTCTCAGTTATCAGTGATATAACAGTTCCAGTGACGATCCGATCAAACCACTTTATCATACTAATATATTATATAATGAATCACATTCGTCGCATTGGCGATTTCAAACAAATTCCAAATAGATCCATTAAAAAACCTATAAATAACTGAAATTATATTATGGTTGCGGGATTAATACAATCTAAATCACATGAAGTATAAAATAGCAATTCCAGCTGGTTTATCATGGAAATGTTTGTGCCGCCCGACCGAAATATATCATCTGATATATTCTGATTACTATCATAATGAATGCGGAATTAACTATGAACCATTCATCGATTCAATGAAGTACTCATCAATCTATAACTAATGCGTTCTACGTAATTCATTCAACGTATCGCGAGCTGTGATTGCTTGAACAACATCCTGCCAACTGATGCTTTTTTGTCGACTACAGTCAGAGAGAGATGCTGGGTCAAATAACCTTCAAAGTGTGTACCCAAAGTATACTTGAGGTATACCTCAAAATTTGTCATTAAATAAAAGTCTTCATAAATCTAGAGTGATTCTAGGATGCGTTCTATGCATAGCTGGACCTAAGATGCCGTGAGTAAATGAATGCAGAGAGCCAGTATGGCAAGCAGGAATAAGCGCCAAGTATAAACGAAGGAAGATCTCACTTGTTTTGTTTGATGTCACATCCAGGGAAGTTGCTCTGAGCTTTGGCAGACTGAGGTGAGCAGAAATCTAGATCTCAAACTACGTTACGTACGTTTCTATCTTAGGTTAGTTGGGGGGTGATTATGTAAACTAGGAAAGTTCAACGACAGCAGGCAGATGTACTAGGTTGGGCTTTGTTGAACTAGGAGGATAATCTAGCAGGGACAAGGAGGCTTGAAATTACGAGACAATGAATATTACTGAATAGTACTGGAGTTTTTCCTTGGCACGTGTTTCAATCACCAAGTGATCATCTTCAAGAGGAAGATCAAACTGTGCCGAGGCGTTAAGATAACGGTTTGGTGTTGGGAAAAAACTCCAGTAGGTAATATTTATCACTACACCAGAGGTTCCAAACAGTGCATCACAAATGAGTAATACTGTTGGTAATATTATACTGATAGTGATGATCATGAGTAAAACTGAATAGTTTTTTACCTTAGGTGGCCTTAGATGGTTAATTTCTATATAGAGTGCAAAATCCATCATTAAAAGATGATTATATTATCCTGAAGAAAATGAAAATGCAGCAATTCTATTTGTTTCTTCTCTCAGCTGAAAAATGCACATGAATGTATAATGAGGTACATGCTTCCACCAGAGGTAAGCCTTGAAAAAGGAATATCACAGAAAGATAACTCCTGTTGCTTTCATCTGACAGGAATATGTCATTATTTATCATATTATGACAATTATAAAAAAACAAAATCTCATATGAAATATTGTCATAGCACTGAGCTGTAGTGTATGCAATTTAAAAATATGTGCTCAATTGTGAGTCTTGCATTACTACAAAATTCACAAGTAGGGGGGTTTTGTGAAGACATCAGGTAACCATGGGTGAGTCGGGAGTGGCCTATTCTGAGTCTTCTTATAACACTTTTGTCCTTTCTTGTTATTGGGGGCAGGTCCAGCGCCGAAACTATGGGTTGGATTGTACGTAGTTTAGTGGTACATGTATTCCAATGTGTTTGCCATGTTTGTATCATCATTTGCTGATTTCACGTCTTGGTGGAGTTGGATTTGCTTCTCTGGCAAGCTTGTTTCGCTGCTTGGTCTGCACGTTCATTGCCCGTAATTCCTACATGAGAAGGGATCCAGATGATATTCACAAGGATACCTCTGGTACGATTATGGTGGGCGGCGTCGAGGATATCTTGAACCAACGGATGATGTTAGTAACTATTTCTGATAAAGAATATTGATGAAAAGGAGTCTGTGCATACGGCAAGTTTACTGTTATCTTGTAGTGGAGACCTCAACGCTTGTAGTATTCCATATAGTTCAGCTGTGTTTATACTACTGAAATTGGGAAGCTTCTATGTTGCTATTATTGTATAGAGTGTAGTAACAGCACATACGGTACCATTCACTTCTTTGGATGCGTCAGTATAAAGGGTTTTGTCGATTTGCTGGTTATTTATCAGTTCTCTGAATCTTTCTATGAAAATTATGTTAGGCGTTTCATGCTTATTGTAGTCGCTTAGGCATGTATTAAAAAATGGCGTTTTTTTTGTCCATGTCGGAGTTTTAGAAAGTTTTATAAGAATTGTAGCTTTGAAGTTGGTGTTTCTTGAAATAGGGTATAATAATTGTGGAGGTGAAAGCGACGTTCTGAGTCTGTTTTTGGGAGCTGGTTGTATAGAATCAACTAATTCATATACCGGGTGTTGTGGGTAAGCAGATACCCTGGAGAAATAGGTATTTTGTTCCTATAGAGAGGTGGTTCAGATGATTCAATAAGAATGCCTTCCGTCGGACTGGATCTGAAGACACCCAGAAATAATCGTTGTGCTGTGGTTTGGATTGTGTCAAGGTATTTGAGGTATGTTTTGCAGGCATTCATATAAAGGATACTTCCGTTATCCAGTTTGGGGGACTAGTGATCTGTTCGTATTAGTATTAGTATTCCCTCTTCAGCTTTCCATTGGTGATGAGCTAATGATTTTGAAATGTTGATACGATTCAGACAGTTAGCTTTTGTCTCCTCGATATGTTGTCTCCATGTGAGTCTTCTATCAAAGATAACTCCCAAGAATCTATGTTGATCAATCACTTGTAGCTGGTCCCCATTGTCAGCACTGTAAAATGCTGGTTTGGTGAATTTCTCAATAAATATCAATAGATGTGATTTTTGGATATTTAATCTTCTTCAGTTATTGAAAATGATTTCCAAAATGACAGAAACGAATACTTTTGTGGTAACCAATTCAATGATGGTATTGTCAAATATGGAAAATAATCATGAAATAATTCAAATTCATTTGAGCGAATACATGAATTGAAAGATGTTCCAACCTCAACTTCAATATTCTAAACCAAAAATACTCAGTATTCAGAATTCCATCTTTCAATATTCCAAGACAGTATTGAGAAATTCATTCAATATCTATCTATTGATATTCACTGAAGGTACCAGCAATGCAGCATATCTCCTTTTTCTCGATCCTGCTGGGTGGCAGTATAATGTAAGATTTTGTTGATTTATTGTGGTTTTGATTAACATTTTAGTGAAAATTTATTCCTGAATTTTTTTTCCAGTTTCGTTTCAATAAATGTTTAATCAAGGTTTCAAATGAGTTCTTTCATTATTTTGGATGAATGATGAATGGGTGAAACAGCGAATAAAATCCTCTCGTTAATAAGCCAAGCGAGTACTGAGTTGCGACAGTATTATTTGTTGGAATGTTCTTCAAAATTACATCAATACTGAATTCTAACATCATATAAAAATGTCTTGGTAATGATCACATTTCTTTGTTAAATAAACGGCGACTGAGGTATTAGAGGAAAAAAGTTATTTCGTAACATTTCAATTATTAGTAATCTCAATCAATGACGATTTTCTTGTATTCGAAAGCATAATTGGAACTAGTAAATGAACTAATCTTAGCGACTGTAGCTTACAGTACAATATTCCATGTGATGCAACTAGTTTATGCGAGTTATTATTGACACCAATAAAAAACGTTTCAAACGTCCTTAAGGCTGGCCGCATGGAAATCAAAATGATCCATCTACAACAACTTTTCGTTCATTTGTTTGAAAGTGTTCAATCCGTAATTAGGAGTTTTGGTGTTTTGATGAGCAATGGAAGAGAAATCAAAGGATGCTACTCCTTTAAAGGAGTATATCCAATTGTTAGATATAATTCTGCAAAGAAAGCATCCCGTGACTGAAAAGAGTTCATTCCATGCACATACGCCAGTCAANGAAACGTTATTCATGGGAAATTAGAATGTGCTATCCAGTAACGAATGAAGAAAAAATAATACGTTAACATATTGCTTTCCATCTAGTTGTGAGGCCAATAAATTGAATATTGTATTTGAGTAATTGAATATATTGTATTTTTATTTTTCCAGAAATATTCGAGGGGAGTCTGAAATATTTTTTCAAATACTATCTAAATACACTTCCACGCCAACGTGGTTGATGTAACGCGAATCAAGATGAGTATTGCATTTTTGACGATCGAGAAAAGTGCTTGTTATGGATTCATTCCAAGACAGAGATTCAAGTTCTACCTCTTATTTGAATACAGTGTTTTCTGAAAAACAAAGTTCTATAGTTCTATGAGTTTTACAGTGTTCATTGGAATATGAAGCATCATTGTAAAAGAAATAGTAACTGAATATTTGTATGTAATGGGTAAGGGCAATCTACTTGCTCTGGTTCACAACAAATTCAACTGATTATGATTTGAAAAATATCAGTTTCACGTGTAGCATACTTCTAATGAAAAATTAAAGACAGTCTAGAGTTTTTCACGCGAATGAAAAAATACACGGTTTTCCATCTTGAAATGTTGAATTATTACTGTTTGAGAGTGTATGGAACTTGAACGGTTTTATCGAGTACTCTTTATATTGGTTGCAAAATTCGAAATACTGGGAATGGTCATAGTAATCCTAACCAACTATCCATGAACATATTCTATCCAATTGCTGTAAAACTGCGATGTAGATAGTCTATTAATGAGTTTTTTCGGAATAACTTAGCAACTCCGCAACAATCAGAAAGCCTAAAAAATATGGAAACGTATGATTTATGTATGTTCTATAGGCTCCTGTGAATCACCCAGTATGTGTGAAAATGATTTTGAAAAATGTTCAGCGTGACGATAATAATCTCCACGAATGAGGTAATCATTCTGAATCATCTCGTTTGTTGAGGCAGTTGGGGTGTTTATCAATTTCAATAGCTTCGCGGTTTATCTTGGCCTGGAGAGTTTTTTCGGTGGCGATGATTTTGGTAGTCTCGAAGCTGGTTCGAAGTGTGGACTGGTTCACGAAGGTGCTTGAAGAAGGATGAATCTTGATCTGATTTACGGTCAGCAAGCTTATGTTCACAGACTCTGTTGGAGATTCTTCCGTTGGTCTGCCCGATGTCAGTTTTGGAGCAGGTAGAAGTTTGAATTTCTTATATGTTCTGTGCCTCATTAAATATCATGTCCTTATGTGTTCGTAAAATAGTGAATTCCTGGAATACTGTTTCTATGTGGTGTCTCTTCAGAATTCGACTTAACCATGAGTAGGAGAAAAAAAGCTTCTGCGTGATCCATCTGTTCATCGGGCTATTTGAGATGTGAGGTATGGATTCACTAAAGATTGATGGATTTTTTGGCTTCGGTTTTGAGGTATTAGTTTTGGCACATGCTAGATTTGAGTTCGTCCAGATCTTTGGATCTATTG